CTAAAAAAATAAATAAGTTACTGGTAATAGAAATTTTGATTATGCGGGAATCGAGAAAGTGAAGAAAGTCAAAACCAACTGAACCATAGGGGACATACCCGAACTAGTCGAGACAACAGATATACTGGAAAAAATTAATCGTTAAACTTGCTACTATTCAAATAATTTTATATTGAACATCAGAAACCAAAAATATTAGAGACCAAGGGAACCTACTCTTGTTAGTAGAGAGGTTATATGGAGATTGTTCAATATGTGGAGCACATCACTGGCAGAAATATAAACAGATAACAATAGTTTATTATAGCATTCATGTCCTCACTAGCGGCCAACTCCAAGATTCATTTCTGATGATCTGATAAGAAGCAAGGACCACATGAGTTCGGACATGTCAGGCTTGTGACAGTTATTGCCATTTCTAATATATAAAACGGCCTCATAAAATAACTGATTGACGGTGTGAGCCACTAGGTGAAATTGGGTTGGTCAGGAGAATAAGTGTTGTCGCTTGACACTGAGATCTAGATTTTGGTCCCTGGTGGGTTCGTGAATATTACACACCTCAAGAATCTCATAACAAGGCAGCACAGCTGTGTAGTACTTCAGATTTTTCAGTGGTTTCCTGAATCTATCCGTTTCATGACTTCAATTATTAGAAAGGATAAATTTATGAATTCCTCATTTGTACTGATAATATATGTTGATGTATAAGAATAACCACCGGCTAAGAAGTTGTATTTCACATACCAACATCGTTTTGAAGATAGTTATTGCATATCAAACAAATATTATTCTTTATCTCCAATTTAGGTAATAAATCATTCCTAGCTTATTTGGTATTTGGTTCTCAACTAAAACATAGCACTCTAATGAGTAAATAGACAAAGACATTTTCGTTGGAAACAAAAATACTTACATATTTCTAAACTAAATCAATAACTTAATAACTGAAAGAATAAGCGTCATATCACAAAACAGTAGATAATAATAATTCACTGAATATATGTTCAGACAGAAGTCATAACCAATACATCAAAAGGAATATAACTAATGTAATCAATAGAGTGTCCCTATATCTTCCATCTTCTATTTTCTGAGCTATGTTCGAAAACTCTTCTTCTAATCCTCGGTTTCTTTCTTCTTTTGGCTCACCGTTGTGTGAAAGCTGTCAACAAAGACTAAATCAGACCAAATTACAGTTTGTTCACATCTGATAATCGTATGGAATTAATTATAAACAAACTTATCGTAGATCCAGGTGATAACACTGTACTTACATACTCTATGAAGTTGATTATACCATGATTTCTCATAGTTTCGTCTTTATATGAACATGGTTAGTATTGATGTGTATCTTCTTACTAACAATCATGGATGTGCACTTCTGAGGAGTATCATACCAGGACGAAACGGCCGTCATAACAGTGCTTCCAGGTTTTTAATGGTAGTCTAGCTTCAATTGACTCATGAATTCAACTATTAAAATTTTTATATTAATAATCAAAACCATAAACCCGATTATACTAAAGTTATTAACGTTGTCACGTTTATATGACCGAAAAATTCAGGAAATTTCAGAACATGTCAATATTAGATGACAGAATATAGTTGAATTGTCAACATTTATTTCGTTATAGATATACTTTTCACATGACTTGAACATTCACAATGGAAACATGTGATTTTGACAAATTTATCAGTATAGAAATATTTATGAATAAAATAATTATTATTAATTAGTTATTTCAAAGAAATTAGTTTTATAGGGACTAATAGATTAGATATTCCTTTCCTGCATTGTTTTTTCTTTCAGATGCGCAACTACCAGGTATTTAAAAAGAAAATTTCAGCATATGAATTCACTTGGTATTATTTTACTTGAATCTTCCCGTTGATGTTTAGTTTATCAGTTAATCAGTTCGTTGTTAGCATATGTGCATACTGTGCGTTTCGCCTCGATATTGCCTTAATTCACAAGCTTCATAAGCAAAGATTCATAGTGGCTAGTAATGGAATCCAGAAATCGCGTTTAATCCTATTTAGGACTTATCAGTTGGATGTACCTGCATTGCAGAGTTGATGTTCACTCTGAGACTCAAACCCAGTATCGTTCGCTTCAAATGCCATCGTGTTATCCACTTAGCTACTGATTTCTAATAGTCACTTGCTTGTGAAATGGCGTGTAGTTTAAATTCACTTGGTATTGTCTTAATTGAATCGTCCCATTGATATTTACTCCGCCTGTAGCTCTTCTAGAGTTACTGGCGGTCCCAAGCCCGGGTAAAGGGGGAGGGTTGAGCATGTGGTTAGCGTCCCCATCCCGTAGAAAACTAACTCGCTAAAAAAACGCTTACCAGAAAAAATTATTCAAACCATTTTAACTCTGCCCTGGGAGTTAGAAGGTCTTCATTTAGAAGAATTATGACGCCTCATGGTGAAAGCCGAGTTCCTTCGGAAGTCACGAGGCCGATGCCCCTTCTAACAACCAGAGCAAAAATTTTTATAGGTACATGGAACGTTCGAACAATGTGGGAAACCGGGAAGACCAGTCAAATAGCAACGGAAATGAGGAGATACAACTTAGCAGTACTGGGAATCAGCGAAACCCACTGGACCCAAGCTGGACAGAAAAGGCTAGCTACGGGAGAGATGCTGCTATACTCCGGTCACGAAGAGGACAATGCTCCACACACTCAGGGAGTCGCTCTAATGCTGTCCAAAGTAGCACGAAATGCACTTGTAGGATGAGAATCTCACGGATCCAGAATCATCAAAGCATCATTCAAAACAAAGAAGGAGGGGATCACAATGAATATTATCCAATGTTATGCACCCACCAATGATAGCAACGACGACATTAAAGATCAATTCATAGAAGTGCCCAAGAAAGGACCTCACCACTCTGATGGGAGATCTAAATGCCAAAGTCGGAATAGACAACACTGGATATGAAGATATTATGGGACGACATGGACTGGGAAAAAGAAACGAAAATGGAGAAAGATTTGCAAATCTGTGTGCATTCAACAAATTTGTCATAGGAGGCACAATATTTCCACACAAGCGTATACACAAGGCTACATGGATCTCACCGGACCACACTACAGAGAACCAGATAGATCATATTTGCATCAACAAAAAATTCCGAAGGACAATGGAAGATGTGAGAACCAGGAGAGGAGCTGACATAGCTTCAGATCACCACCTAGTTGTAGCCAATTTAAAACTGAAGCTAAAAAAGAACTGGACAAGTGGACAAACAGCACTACAAAGGTTCAATACAGCCTTCCTTCGAGATACTGACAAACTCAATGAATTCAAGATAGCTCTCAACAACAGGTTCCAAGCCTTACAAGATCTACTGAAGGAAGAAGAAACTACTATGGAGGACAACTGGAAAGGCATCGAAGAAGCATTAACTTCAACGTGTCAAGAGGTTCTGGGCCTAAAGAAACACCATCATAAGGAATGGATCTCTATAAAAACACTGGACAAGATCAAAGAAAGGAAGAACAAGAAGACAGCAATTAACAACAGCCGAACACGAACAGAGAAAGTCCAAGCACAAGCTGAATACACATAAGCAAACAAGCAAGAGAAGAAAAGCATTAGAGCCGACAAGAAGAAATACGTGGAAGAACTAGCAACGACGGCGGAAAAAGCTGCAAGGGAAGGAAATATGAAACAACTTTACGATACAACGAAGAAACTAGCAGGGAAATATAGTAAACCAGAGAGACCGGTCAAGGACAAAGAAGGCAAGACAATCAATAAGATTCAAAAACAAAGGAATTGATTAGTAGATTTCTTTTAGGAACTCTTGAATAGACCAGCTCCACTGAATCTATCGGATATCGAAGCAGCACACACAAACCTTCCTATGGATGTCACTCTACCAACGATCAAAGAAATCAGAATAGCCATCAGACTAATCAAGAGTGGGGAAGTAGTAGGACCTGACAGTGTACCAGCTGAAGCATTGAGGTCAGACACAGAGGCAACTACAAGTTTGCTTCATGTTATATTCAGGAAGATTAGAGAGGGAGAACAAGTGCCGATGGACTGGAAAAAAGGATATCTCATAAAAATATCAAAGAAAGGAGATCTGAGCAAACGTGCGAACTACAGAGGCATCACAGTACTACCGGTATGAGGGGATGTCTTCAACAAAATGCTGCTGGACCGGATGACAGACTCGGTAGACTCCCAGTGTCGAGATAAACAAGCTAGGTTCAGTGAGAATCGGTCGTGCACAGACCAAATCACGACACTGTGTATCGTCGTTGAGCAATCAGTTGAGTGGAACTCGTCACTATACATCAACTCCATTGATTATGAAAAGGCATTTGATAGTGTAGATAGGAAGACGTTATGGAAACTTTTTCGACACTACAGAGTTCCTGAGAAGATTGTCAACATTATCCGGAACTCATACGACGGACTACAGTGCAAAGTAGTACACGGAGGACAGCTGACAGATGCATTGCAAATGAGGACCGGAGTCAGAAAAGGCTGTTTACTCTCCTCATTCCTCTTTCTTCTACTGGTCAACTGGATTATGAAGACCTCGACAACCCTGATATATATAGAATAATATGAAATAGGTCAGATATAGTAGATAGGGGTGGATATTGAATAAATTTCTCAAAATGACTATCAAGTGTAATAATAATAATAATGACAGTGGTAAGATGTGTGGTAAGTTTAGGACATAAAAATGAACATTAATCAAACTACGTCACCATATTATAAAATTGATTATTAATTAGTTGGCCTTGAAGTTGGCCAGGGTAAAAGTAGCGGCTGAACATATTTCTTTTGGATGTAAAGCTCTGGGTTTTTTTTAATTCGAATAGCAATTGCTTCAGACGTCTGTACGATTTTCCAATCTGATTGAATTAGGTTGACTATTGTTAACATGATATATTATTACGAAAGATTGCTCAAATAATTCACTAGAAAGTAATATACAGAATATTGTTTTAATTGAGTTCAACTAACTGACACAACTATAATTTGTTTTATAATTCAAGAATATATAACCAATCATTTTTAATTGTTAGTCAAATTACAATTTACTCGTGACTGAATTACATTTATTCAATAATACTAAACGAATGAGGTGCACTTTAAAGTCTATGCTAATATTGACTATAAATAAAATAAACTTTAATTAACAAATTACAACTAAATTGAATATAAACTTTGATTTACATCTTGATAAATATTTCTTGTACATATTGAAATGTTAATTTTCTTTTTGAAAATACCATCAAAGAGATTTTTCAGTCATATTATAATCAAAATTATAGGAATAGGAAGTTTCTTGATTATATTATTGCTTACATTATATCATCTGTCAATTCCACCTAAGATACACATATATTATTCAAACCATATCCAAATAAAACGATACAATGCCAGTCATGTTTGTGAATATCTTTTCAGGAACTCTACTATGAATCATAGTCATGAAATTTCTGACAGTAATCAATCATTTTGGAATCATAGAAATTTCAGTTTATCAAATCCATACAGTTGCAAACAGTTCAAGTTGTTCTATGGTCATACTGTTAATTTGTCAAAGGAAGAAGAACAATTTCCACTGGCATTCAGTATAGCTATACATCAAAGCAATAAACAAGTATCTCGTCTCCTTCGTTTGATTTATAGACCACATAATTTATATTGTATTCATGTGGATTCGAAATCTCCGCAAACATTATATGATGAAGTTTTAAATTCTGCTAAATGTTTCGGTCCTAACGTTATAGTGGTTAATAGATCAGAAAGTGTAAATGTTCAATGGGGTTATTTTTCCATACTTGAAGTGTTTCTTTTATGTGCGGATAAATTATTAAATAATACTGACTATATGTGGAAATACATTCTAAATCTAACTGGACAAGAACTGCCTTTAAGAACAAACTGGGAGTTGGTTGCAGCACTGAAAGCTATAAATGGTTCGAATGTTGTAGAAGGTCTAGGTCCTCGATTTAACCGTAATAGATGGCCTGATAAGAAATTTGAATTTCCTGTAAGTTAAATATGATTTTATCACAATACATTTTCACTATCAATAATAAATTATTAATTTAAGCGGACTTTTGAGTATATTTTTATGTTTTTTAACATTGTTATTTTGAGAATTAGTAAAAGCAATTTATGCAAGAAATTTTAAGTCAAAGGAAAATCAGCATGATATAATACAAATATGAAATAATAATCCATAATTTGGTAACTAAACTAGCTAGAAGTAAACATGTTGATACCTTCTTTGGGAGTTGAGATTCACAAGGAACAATTAATGAGACGTAAAAGTTGTTTAGACAATACTTTTTATAGTGATTCATTTGTTAACTCATTTAGTTCAAGAAAATAACTATAATTTTGAAATTATTGGTTTAAGACAAATACTATTCAAAAATGTTGGAAAGTCATAATTGGAAATCATGAAATGATCGAAGCGAGACTACCTTTTAAAACCTGGAAATACTGGACAATCATTTTGTTCCAATATGGAACTCCTCAAGCGTGCACATATTCAACCCTGAATATAGGAATTGAATCCAGGACCTTAGGTCTCATACACGAACACTCAATCTCCAGACCATTGAGTTGGCATTCAATGGTATTAATACCTAACTTCGACCAATCCACGACATAACGTGACCATCTTCCATTGTTGTCGGTGGGTAACTATCTCATACCCTATACAGTTTAATAATACTAAACATTATAGTGGATTAAGAGAGATGTGAAAAAAATTCGAAACTTGGAGATCTTTTTTTCTGAACTGTATGGTTTAATTTCGAAATTTTTATCATTATCGTAAGTAGCATCATCGGTGACTAATTCAAGTACGAGAATGATAATGTAACGGTTTCAGTTAAATAATCAGTGTTGATTGGTCATCTCTTTTTTTAATGAATTATACTATCATATTTATATATATGGGTTACAAAAACTTTCATATTAAGATTAAAGTGCAAAATAAATCATTTTTTCTATAATGAGAAAATAATCGACTCAGTTAAAATGAGCTAAATGTTTGTTTTTATGCCTTCAAATCATCTAAAATTATCGATTTATGACTGTATTTGTGTGATTGATCTTATAACTACAACCATCTGATTATGAACTTATTCTGTTACTATGCTGGTTCGTAATTAGCTTAATTGACCTATTACTGGTGTTTACAACAGTTTACATTTTCTCAGTAATACTACAAATGTTAAGCATTAATTCGCTATTAGAATATATTTCAAAACATAAATACTATAACTTTAAGAAATGATTAATTTAGAGATTACACACTTTTCAATCCTTTAAACTGGATTTTTATTCATATTCAATTTATTTTAAACTTTCGTTTGATTAAACTTCGAGTTATTTGAGTTTGGAAATTGAACCCAGGAAACTCCTTCAGAATTTCAATAATGTTTATCATATTGTCTCAGTAGGAAAAAATACTTAATTACAAACCACCTTATCACTTTCTGTACATACCAACTCAAAGGAAAGTCGAAAACGGTCAGAATATAATTTATGGAGACATTTAAGCAACGCTATAGAGACCTTGATAACTCAGGTGGATGATTTTGATGGAGTTTTGTTCTCTGAGCTCAGAGAACAAAACTCCATCAAGACCTTGATAACGTCTATCCACATACTACAACTAAATGAGGGTTATAAACCAGTGTGAGGAATTAGAATTAATATTTACAGTTGATAGTTAGAGTTGGGAATTCGATATAGGGTTTTCATAACGAACTGACATCAGCTATAATGCCAAAACTCTATTTAGCCAAATGGATGAGTTAATTTTGCACCAAAATTCAAGACATGCTATCGTAAATCTGATTGGTTCGTCCATAAATTCGATTTTATAATGTAATTCTGAAAACTTTTATCAGTCTTTAGTCATCAGTAAAAAGTATAGGAGGTCTATCGACCTATATTAATCCTTGTGGTTTGTAATACTGTGGAGTTCCAATCTCGTTTTGAGTATGTCAACAGAAGGAGCTGATATTACGTGTTCCGGCAGAGAATTCCAGTAATTCACTACTCGGTCGAGAAACGAAACTCCAGACGTAAACGATTTGATCTCGGTTTTTGAACTTCCTTCGAATGTCGTCTCAAATGATCAGTCCTGGACGGAATTAAAAGATAAGACATGTTAATACCAAGGTCATCTTTCAGTATACGATAAGCCAATATTAGATCACCCCACACTCTACGGTTAGATAACGGAAATAAGTTGAGGTGTCTCAGTCTGTCTTCACAAGATAGGTCAGATAGACCGTTTACCATCTTAGTACCTCGTCGTTGGACTCTTTCCGGCATCTCTGCTTCATACTTGAAACAAGGACTCTCTGCTTGAATCCCATATTCTAAATGTGGTCGCACACAAATCGGTTATAATAGTCTAAACATTTCATCATCTAAATACTGGAAAGATCTACGAATAGACCATAATACCCTATAGCCTTTCGCAGCAGCAGCCTTACAGTGACTAGTGGTTTTGAGATTACTGCTTAATATGACTCCTAAATCTTTATAGTTTCTTACTTTGGGTAGCACGAATCCACATATTGTGTAATGATACGATTCATCATAGTTATTTGTTTGAATCACTACACTTTTATTAGGATTTACTTCTAGTGACCACCTGTCCAACCATGCCACCAATGAGCTAAGATCATTCTGTAATACTATCCTATCCGACATATTGTGTATGGGTCTCCAAATCTTTGTGTCATCAGTGAAGAGTAGAACGGATGATTTCGCTATAGTTGGTAATTCATTTACATAAAGTAAAAAGAGAAGAGGACCGAGGATTGTACCTTGGGGAACTCCACTTTTTACAGGTACCCACGAGGAGAGAGCCCCAGTTATCCTTACCCTTTGTCTCCTGTCATGCAGAAAGTTACTTATTCAATCTAAGACTGTATAATGGATTCCAAAACGTTCCAGTTTAAATTTAAGACCAGAGTTGGAGACCTTATCGAAGGCATTACTTAGATCTATGAGGATCACATCCACAGGAATGTCCCGATCTTTTGCAGCAGCCCAATCTTCTCTTGCAATGAGAAGATTTGTCAAGCATGATAGGCCTCTCCGAAGACCATGTTGTTCCCTGGAAAAAAGATTATGTCCTTCAACGTAGTTTATAACAGATACCCGAATGATTTTTTCCATCAGTTTTACAACTGCACTGGTTAAGCTAACGGGCCTATAGTTACTAACTAAATCCCTACTCCCGGCCTTATACACCAAACTTATTATAGCGTCTTTCCAGTCTCTGGGCAGTCTGAACTGCCTTAGAAACATGTCAAACAGTATCGCTAATGGTTCAGCAATTAAATCTGATAGGGCTTTCATAATTCTAGGATGAATATCATCAGGACCACTGGACTTATCAGGTTTAAGATGCTGAAGTAGCCTTGAAACAGTACCTTTCTCAATGACTACAGGGTCCATCAGCGAGCCGCCGCGATCACAATAAATCGTTGGTCGTTCCTCATTACCGATAGAAAACACTTTACTGAAATATTCCGATAAAGCTTCAGCTTTTTCGATATCATTTTCTGCCAATCTGTCTTAGCAGCGCATTCCTGAATGACTGATATGTTAGCTTTCCATAAATTTGGGCGAAGTGTAACCTGATCGTATAACATGTCCCTAGTTCTAAACATGAATGTCAAAACAGCGTGATCGCCGTTCACTAATGGCAGAAGAATATTTAGGTCGACAATATCCTCAGTATCATGAGTGATTACCAAGTCCAACAGAGAAGAACCTTGAATAGCACCAAAATGTATGGGTTTGGATACATGCTGCACTACTGCATGCTCCATTATTGTTACCAGGATCCTACTATCAAAGAAGTTTATAGATCCTTATGTGGTCATCTCAGTCCAACTAATATCAGGTGCATTAAAGTCTCCTATTATCAACCGTCTGGTATTTGCACTCCAAAGATGAATGTGCTCTAAACTAAAGTCATCAGCTAAGCAGATCGGGCTGCAATAGATGATACCGAGCATAAATGTACTACATTCGATAGCCAATTTACAGCTAATGACTTCACAAGTACCGCTATCATGAGACTCGCTAGCAGAAGAGCGGATATTTATATTATTGGCTATATATAACAGGACGCCACCTCCTTTTCTACATTTATGTCTATCACTCCTGAGATAATGGTATCCGAATAACTCTGGTGTAATGTCTAAGTCATGGACTAACCAAGTTTCTGTCACTGCTACGATGAGTGGCTTTAATCTGTCCACTAATGCTTCTAGTTCATAGAACGTATTTCTCAGACTACGAGCATTGGTATATAAAACTCCTAAGTAGAACGGCCTATCCACACAGGCCTTGGTAGCATTCGCTTCCACGACCTGAGTATCCGAAAACCCACTAGCCGGAGATTTCCCTCACCGTTTTGCCGACGAGTTTCAAGTTCAGCTAGTGCTTTCTTCCTTTTTATTCTATCTTCAAGAGACATGTCAGGTCTAACCCGTATATCGGAATTGTCGTGACAACGAGCGCTATTTAACAGGAGATCCCGTTGCTTCTCCGATCCTAGGATTACCTTAGGGAGTCTACATGGTCGGGGTTCAACATTTTCCTCAGTCCTCTTGCCTACTCTAATCAGTTTTTTGACATGAACTCCTTTAGAGTCATCTAGTAAGATACTACGAATATATTCTCCCAGCTTTTCTAAATCATTCTCGCGTCTGATTTTGGGATCAGGGTAGTTTGACTCCAGCAATTTGCTCATAATAATATTCGATAAGATTAGATTCTTCTTCTCAGTCACGCCAGGGTGGGTTTCTCTCTTACTATCAGATTTTGGTAGTGCATCTAGTGACTGACAATGGGAGTCCACCAGTGACTTGCTAACCATCTGCGTACTGTCTACAGCCTCTTTCTTTTCGTTTCGTTTTCTCCGTACTGTAATCCATTTTTCATCCCTCAGGACACCGGGACTATTTGGAGCAGTGACGGTTTTATCCAGATCTTCAGTTTCCATCAGGGGTGCATGGTTACCAATGTCAGTATCAGGTGGCACTACCCTCCTCGTTAATTTTAACGGAGATTTCACTTTTCCGTCAGTCAAAGTCGGTTGTTTAAAGCGTCTCGTAACAGCATGTACTACACTGACATATTCGTCACTGTCAGTGCTCGTGTTATCAGAGCATGCGCCATTGTTCTTCTTACAGGCCAAAGCCAATAGGCTCATAGCCTCCTGTATTAGTAACGTCTTATTTGCACAGCAAAACATGCAGAACCAATGTGAGTTAGGCTTCAGACATCTTTTGTATGCAGTGGGACTTAAACGGGTACACATCTTATGGAACCACTTTTTGCATTCATCACACTGCATTCCTCCCTCCACAGGGACCGAACAGTTTGGTAGTACACATTTGTGAGTACTACCAACCATTCTAGTCAGACTAAGGTGTAAAACACAATATGATCACAGTATGAACACAGTGTCAGTCAACGAGTAAGAGTGTACTACAAGACAAACTTAAGCAAGATTTCAAACCTTAACTAAAGTACTTTGATTTAGACAAAGAATGCTTTTGATGCAATAATTACACAAAAGTAAGGATAATCACAACAAGTACAAAACCACTGCCCTTTTTGAAACACCGAGGACAAACTAATATGGAAGCAGAAACGATACTGTAATCGAATACTTTAACTGAAATAAATTCAATTAAAATGAAAACAGTAGTCTTGATACGTAATAACGATCAAAACAATAGAATTTACTCAACGAGGAAAAATACCACTGTCCTTTTAATTAGTGCGCGTATGGTTAGTTCGACTTCGACAGTGATCATAAAGTCATACAAAATTGTTAGCGTCCAGTTAGAAATACAAAATCTTTACAAAAATCAACATAAATTTACATTCATGATCCAGAATACTGAATAAAAAGAATGTCTTAAAATAAATTTCCGAATTAACCATTTTCATGTAAATCAGTTGAATTATTCTATAGAAAATTGCTCTTCATCAAAGTAGTAGATTAACTTATTCCATAATTCATTTTCTAAATACTTTATTAATTTAGACTTATTAATTATGTTAATTTAATAATTGAAAAGCATCAACTAATTACAATCAGATCTTTCATTTTATGATTATTCAATAAGAACATTATAGATATTCAATCTTGAATTAAGAATGAATCAATTTTAATGTTCACATTTTGACTGAATATGATCTCATTTTCTTTCTTTGTTTTTTTTTTTCGTTTAATTTATAGTGCAATTTTATTGCATTTTATTGATTAGTTTATTATGTTTATTCATTTATATAACAACTGTTCAGTTCAACTAATTCTTTAACTAATAATGGTTGACTATAATTCGAATAAGAATTAATCGGGTTTTTTTTTAATTTTTGGTCGTTAGCAATTAAATCTTTCAAGATTTTATAGTTGAGATCATGAGTCAATTGAGGCTAGACAACCATGAAAAACCTGGAAGCACTGGATGGCCGTTTCGTCCTATTGTGAGAATCCTAAGCAGTGTCCACTCACCATTCCGCCCCGTGAGATTTGAACACAGGATAAGATTAGCTGAAATTAAAACAGAAATGATCTGTAGTATCCTGTTATCAAAATATTATGATTTCTCTTATTACGGACCAACTACTCTTATTGCTTAATATTCATGGACACTACTTCTCTTGATGAGTCACTAAATCAGAATACGGTTGAAAAGGAAAGTAATTATATTCCAAATAACAAGGTCAGATAAAAATAGAAATCACAATATGAAAAACGTTAGTATACTTATACTTTTTACATAAGAGGATTTTAGAGTCTTCTCCAAGTATCGGCTAGCGCTGATTGGTTAAGAAACAACTAATCAGTGTGCCCCCTGACACAGTCCTACATGGAACATACCTAAATCCAATCTATATCCTTCTAACACGAAGTGAGGTTAATAGTTGTCACTGTGACCACAAGTATAATAAATATGTGTTTACTCATTATTGATATGTCGACAAAACCTGTATTCGAACTTCATGTATGACTATAGTGGTTGTCTTAGTCTTATAAATCAATTTCAATATCCTACGTTCATTAAATTGGATTGATATCTTTTGTAATTCAAATGTAACTTGTCTTCTTGATAAAGACCATACACTATGTTATTTAATAATATTTGCTAGATTATTGATCTTGTCATATTACTTTATGCTCAATGAATGATGACAGTCAATTTATTTCAATTTTTCTCTGAATCTATTTACTTACAACTAAGAATATAACTTAGTCAAACGGAATACTTTTTTCTCGCTTAAATCTCTATGCACCAAAACTAAGCGCAGCTACTTAGTTTATTAATGGTGACCATTAAAGTTTAAATGATCTATATGACTACTTATTTGCTATTCAAACTAATAAATGGTTGCGAAGTATTAGAGCTCTTACTATGTGATAGTAGCAATAGAAATATGTGTTGACGCATATGTCATTGTATATCATTTTATGTAGATATCCTACTTTGATTGTAAGATACCATCATACTTCTTATATGTGAAGCGAATTTAAGGTCAAGAAAAGTCATAAATTAAGACTGCTTGACAAGTTTGTACGTGTAGCTTTGATTTTACAAAAGAGGATTATTTTATATAAAATTAGAGCCAAAGTAAGTACATGTTTATCAGCAATATTATCATCAAGATCTTACTTACTTACTTACGCCTGTTACTCCTCGTGAAGGAGCATAGGCCGCTCACCAGCATTATCCATCCAACCCTGTCCTGGGCAATCCTTTCTAGCTCCGTCCAGTTGTAATTCATCCTTTTCATATCTGCTTTGATTTCCCGACGTAATGTGTTCTTTGGCCTTCCTCTTTTTCGCCTCCCTTCAGGGTTCCAAGTTAGGGCTTGCCTAGTGATGCAGTTTGACGATTTGCGTAGTGTATGTCCTATCCATTTCCATCGTCTTTTCCTAATTTCTTCTTCAGCTGGAAGTTGGTCTGTTCTCTCCCACAGAAGGCTATTGCTGATGGTATCCGGCCAATGGATGCTGAGTATCTTGCGTAGGCAGCTATTTATAAATACTTGTACTTTCTTGATTGTGGTTGTTGTAGTTCTCCAAGTTTCAGCTCCGTACAGTAGAACTGTTTTGACTTTCGTATTGAAGATTCTCACTTTGATATTGGCTGGCAGTTGTTTTGAGTTCCATATGTTCTTCAATTGTAGGAATGCTGCCCATGTTTTGCCGATCCTCACCTTTACGTCTGCATCTGAACCTTCTTGTTCATCGATGATACTCCCTAGATCACTAAAAATTAAATTGTTATAAAATGAATGCATTTTATCACGCCCTTGAAAGTTCATTTAACTGAAGTATGCGAGCAACATAATACAAACTTGTATAAACTCGGAATTAATTAATACATACTGTTTTGGATTTCTGAAAACAACACATTGACAATCGTATGAGTTCGTGTTTCAAAGCAATTATATTGACACTATCAATCAAGTTATCACTTAATTTAATATTTGATCTCTAAAAGTACACTCAGTGGCATACTTATAGAGTTTAAGTATTAGGCCATTGCTTTTTAATGATTTTTATTCCTAACTCTATGAAATGCACCTTTTTGCCTGAATTCAAAGTTAGCTGTTCTCAGTGCTCAATATTGGTTCTTCCAGTTTTGAAGAAAATTTGAGAAAGTAGATCCATTAACAAATAGTACTTTTTAAACTTTTTCTTATAAATATCATGAAATGAACAGGAATCTTATTTTGATGAAGTTCTGTTCTCTGAGCTGGATGGTTTGGTCGTGGAGCTTTCATCATTTTTCTGAACGACATCGTCAGCACAATCTTCAGATAGAAGTCTATCTGACAACTTATTTGTAATTTCATTTCATTGAGGTGTAATTTCATTTTAAAAATTTATCCAATTTAAATGAATACCCACTGTATGTAAATACGAATTGATGTCAATTATTTAATCATTTACTTTCTTATCTTCTTCTATATAGATTGTTTGGAATAAAGGAAGTTTCTATATGGCATTAAAACGAGAATTAATACAATTTTATAAAACTGATTTAAAGTCACAAAAAATACTTAATGCAATCAAAGCTGAGAAACATTTACGAAAGCATCCAGATGAATTATATTTTCCTACTTTAAATTATAATCCTCAATTTGGTGCACCTGGTGCTTGTATAAATAATAATAATTCATCTCCATTTATAGCACGTTATGTAATTTGGGGCATGGAAAAATGCGTTAGTCAATACACTCGTCGATCTGTATGTATAATTGGTAAAGCTCATCTACCATTTATACCATCAAGAATGGAGTTTTTTGTAAATAAATTTCAAGAAGATTTTCAACCAATTGCATATGATTGTATAGAATATTATATTATGAATAAAGTAATCAAAGAAATGCAAACAAAACAATTAGATCCAAATTTTAATGTAACATTTTATTCTAGACTGCATTGTTCTAGTAATCATGTTTAATACTGAATCATTGATTTCTATTCATCAATATTTGTTCCTGCAAAGTTCTATTATCCATAAGAGTTAAATATGTCATTTCATATTCTTGTTTAACCAATGATTTCGATAATGTAATAAGAAGACAAAGATTATCAGAATTATGTAATATATTAGCGTAATGCATTTTGAACAATCTTATTACATTATCGAAATTTATCAAAAGGACTAATTGCTTTAACCAATGATTACTTTATTTTGGGTAAATTTGTATAATTTTCGTAACTAAGATAAATCATATTGGTGATATATTGAATAATCAAGACATTTACTGCAAAATTAAATATTTAATGTTTTGTTTAAACTTATCATAATAATACAATACAATTTCATATTGCATACTTCGAATTTGAGTTCTTTGATTGTGTCTTGTCAAAGTTCTAAACTTTTTGAGATTAGTACTATTTCGTTATATTATGTCAAATTCACAGATGACCTACTATCTAAGAACTTAATTATGGCTAGGGAGCTCTTATTATTTAAAAGGAATTTTTAGTAAATAAGGGCTTTTTGTAATAAATGTATTACATAGGATAAAGTTTTATTACGTTTTTTTTATTAGGATGAATGTAACTCATGCACCAAATATATACTAGTGCACTTAGTTTTAAGTTACACTGGGAATTTGTCAGTGCCCTAAACTACAATAAATGGAATGGAGTTCGGACCTGATTGAAAGGTGAGGAAATCAACTGCTAACCCACCGACTTAAAATACTTCTTTAAAAAGATTTTAGCAACAAAAATCCATGTAAATAACTTTATAAGTATAAAACTAGTCACTTTTATTTCTAGTATTGTGATGAACTTAGTCTTTATGTTAGTTATGCTGTTTGCTCAAATCTACCACTAATCTTTTTACCTTTTTTTTATTGCAAAACTTATTTTAATTACAGACATTTTTAATATATTTTTACATTATCATGCTAATTAAAAAGCCATGTTATTTCTAGCTTCTTCAAAACACCTTTTCATGTATTTTGTATATCTACGGTATTTAATGCAAAATGTAAGGTTATGTGTTGAATAAGTTGTGTCAAATGGTTTCATTATTAAAGACAGCTTGAAGTATAGACAATTAATGTGACCAGGATATGAAAAATAGGATCCATTATTCAATAATTTAGTGAGTAACGTCCTTAAATCTTAATTTGAGTTCATACTAGGAATTAAATAATGAAAATTTTCAATAAGATTTATCGTGTGTTTTGAGCGGGGACTCATGGAATTATAAGAGTATATTCTCTAAAAAACTATGATTACTACAGTAGACGTATTTAATAACTCTAAGAACAAAATAGTTTCTTTTAGAATGATATTTAGAGAATGACTTTGTAATTATCGAATCATATACATTAAAATCAACGATCTCTGTAACAGATTAACACTAGATATTTCATATGTTTTTAACTCATTATAATCCACTAGGATTCTGTTTCACCTTACTGCAAATGAATAGCTTAAAACCATAAGATTCAACCTAACACAATCAATTCGTTATTTGGGAGTAATCTTATGCCCTGTGGACAATATACTTGTGAATAGAAACTAGCGAAAAAGAAATTAACAGTGGAACATATGAGCAAACACGTTCTAGGTAGTCACTGTTAAAAATTTTAATTAAATGAGCTGTAAATGCTACTATTTTGTAAACAGAAACAGTTATCTCCATTTGCTGTATTATCATATGCTTATTTTGCTGACAATGGTAATATTCGATTCATCAATTCAATTCAGAACTTAAAGCCCTTAGATTTAGGGTCGTTGAAAAAACCTACCAAAACATGTACTAGGAATTTTGATCAATATGTGTTTTAAACAAACGAGTATTATACACTACAAATCAGTTGTGTTTTAAGTGTTTTACTTGTGAGTTTCAAGTGGGAAAAAGTGAATCTTCAATATCAAAATGAAATGCTTTGGAAATCGAAGTTTTATTATTGATTTCTGAAAAAATTCCTTATAAAAACTTGACAGTTTCATCTTGATGAATTATCGATAACAAGATTAGGCTGAAATCCTACCTCCAGACCTTCAATTGCAGGTTGATATTGTACTTCTTGAAGATTTTTATGGTGATAAGCAGCATTTTCCAAAGTAACACGCAACTTCAGGTCAAGTTGGTAGTGACTCCGTTAATCTTTCAGTTCAAAGTACCTTCGGTATTACAACTCTAAAATAATTTGGCAAAACTATTCAATTTTTTTGAGATAATAGACTGACACTTAGTAAACGTTGCTGAAACAGCAGGTTCTATTTACCAAACGACGTTCGATGACAAAATTCACCGAACAATCTTTGTTACCACATAAAGTCGCCCCACGACATTCTAAACGATGTCAAAAGCGTGATAGCCTTATTAAGTTTCTGTTAGTATTAACTTGTGAACAGTATCCTTTTGTTGTGGTGTTTAGCGTTTTCAAGTGACTATCTTTTAGCCTTCCCGCTCATTATATTTAGGTAACGGGACAGGCATTGTCTCACACTAAGTGGTAACACGAGTAGCACATCATGTTAATGGTCCACCCTCATGTCCACAGTGAGTATTAACAAGTATGGCTTTTTGCCAAATATCTGTCAATAAAACTACTGTTAGCACCGTATAACAAACCCAGTGAGCCTCCCACAATATACTTATCAAACTACTTATGAGTAAGCAGTGAGGCTGAAACTCGAAAAAGGAACTAGGTATAGGAAGAAGGAAGCTTAGCAAGGACAATGTATGTACTCGCCTGGTTGGCAAGTAACCGTACATTCAGGTATAATTACCATCGAAGATGAGTACACTTTTCTTTTAATCCTATGGCACATATACATGTCCACTAAAAGTGAACAATCAATTTTGTATATCTCTGTGAAGATGTATCTGTTTTTTGTAATGATAATGCCTTTGTATTTTTTTTGAATTTAACATTTCTCCTATTGTTTACCGCATTTATGCACATTTTGTTTCTCTTCTGGTTTATTTCGTTTATCATCATTATATTGTCTACAATTTGAGTTGTGGTCAACTCAGAGATGACGTTGAATATTATGACCACTGCTTCGCTTCCGTTTTCTTGAACGTCGGGATTTTGGCGTCTACTGCATTAGTCGGCCTTATTTTGGACTACTGTTGTTTTGGCTAAAATGGCCGGATTTTTCCCTAGTGCAAGAGATGTTTGACTTCCTGGTTGTTAAGAAATTTCATTTTAAACAGTTAATGATTAATATTGGAGCCGTTACGATCGTAGTTAGCCATGAACACACATGGATCTCGGTTAAGGACATAGATTGTAAATGTATGGCCATAAATTGTAGGAATTATCTAGTTCTAATCCCATTGCTGCATACTTGGCTGTAAATGCATTTTGTTTCACTAGTGTTTAATGAATGACGACAAATAATTTAATTAGGTCTTATGTTATTTTCAGCTCGCTAACAAGAAGTACGTCATTGTTGACGTCCTCAGCAAAAAAACAACTGATAATAGCATCCAAGGAGTGGATAGTAGTCAAGGAACTTTGCGCTTTTCCGAACGAGCTGGTCGATATACACCTTCAGAAGTGCGACCAACCGAATGAAAATTGGTCACTTATGAAATGTAAAGTTATTCACGAATTAGGTAAGTTACATACACAGAAAGTATAATTCACTATAGATTCTCTGCAGTCTGCCAAAGATCTGTTACTTTCCATACAAATACTGCAATCTCACCGGGAAAACACTTCAACGGATGAAAACACTCTGCCACATAACACTGAGAAGCACAAGAGGTATGTACAATAATCTTACTAAAATTTCCTAGAGCTGCCATGAAGCGTAAACAAGAATATCTTTACAATTCAGTAGACATGGATGTTGCTGAAATGCAGGCTGGCAATAGTCATGTTCAATATCCAAATTCAGGTTGTTTGACAAATTAGTTTCGCCTATTGCTAAGTAAGTTTCATGACTATTTACATGTTCAAAAATTAGTTCGACGCAATTAGAGACATCCCCGTCTACATCGGCATCAAAGCGTGTCCATGGTGCTTCAGCAGACCAGTAAGTCACCTGCATCATCAAGTGGACTTTTTCAGGTTAGATAGGTTGCATGCAATGGTGCAAAACATTTCGTCAACTATGAATGACTTCAGTCAAACGTTGCAGAAATGTCAACAGCCATTTCGGATTTGAGTATTAATGTAAAGCAATTGCTTTCAAAGTCTAATGAGCGCGAAAGACCGCATCAATTCGATTGCGGACTGTCGAGTCAGCAGTTCCCTTTGTCATCTGAAGAGGAACTACAGATGCTGGATACTGGTTTGTCGCAGAAAGAAACCAGGGACAGATTTGTAAGTCATTAACATGAATTTAATAATTTGTTACTATTACAGATGGCAATGGTCACTAGGTTATCAAGTGACGATCCAAAAACGTCGATGCGTTTTGTTCTGTCGCATCTGTTGACACCAGAGGTTGCCAGTAAATTCACGTTACTTGGCACCTCTTCAAAACGAGCACTACAGAAATGCACGTTTTACGGCTGCATACGAAGTAACCTATATCTATTACTTAAACTTCAGGTGCCTTAACTCATCGCTTTCTGTCATCCTCTGTCAACGAAAAAGACCTTGGTAAGCTCTATGACATCGCGACACAAGGTTACTTTCACGATATCCGAGACAAGATGATAAAGCGTAATAGAAAAAAACAAGACCAGGTATGTACTAATTTAAAGTGATAACCTCCCTACGGCTCTATAGTTACAGTCAACAATATTAACGAACATAACCGTAAGTTCAGCTTCAAGTATTTGGCTGTGCCAAAGCATGTCATTGAGATATGGTTGTGACTTTTTTTCTTTTTTTTTTAATTCAGAATTCATAGGACGACTACCTCAATTCTCAATAGCCGAACGAACGTGGCTTAAGGGAATAGTCCGTGCAATTGTTTTGATGTTCTACCTAGATTTCAATAAACATTATTTTTTCAAACAGCTTACTGTTTTACTTACATGGGAAACTGTTGAAGTGTTGAGAATGTGTGTTTGAGTGTCAGTTAACTATTGGTTAAATACACATTCCTTATAAATAAAACATCACCTGTTCCTTCTTTTTCAGATAATTTCAAATAACAATGAATTAGCAATTGCATTGGATATGCAAAACAATCGATGCTTAAGCTTCGGCCCTAGTGTTGTACAATAATACGCTTTTCCTTTTAAATACAAATTTTCAAAAATGTACCGCTTTTCCACTGCATTGCAGATATATTTTGGTCTTTTGTTGAAAATAAAGGCGAACATAGGAGACCTTTGGGGTTCTGTCAACGTATGGAAAATAGGGGGTTATGTGTGTATTTGGGCAAAAAGTAGGCAATTCCGCGGAAATTTAGGCGAAAAGTAGACAATTCGGCGGATATTTAGGCAAAAAGTAGACAATTCAGCGGATATTTAGGCGGAACGTAGGCAATTCGACGGATATTTAGGTGAAAATGCGAAAATTCAGCGGTTAATTAGGCGAAAATGCGACAATTCGACGGATATTTAGGTGAAAATTCGAAAATTCAGCGGTTATTTAGGCGAAAATGCGACAATTCGGCGGATATTTAGGCGATAAGTCGGTAATTTGTCGATAAAACGGCGAAAAAGGGGAAAATCCGCATTATTTCCCCGGACAGGCGAAAAAGGCGACATTCTGGCGCGTTTTCCCCTTTCCTTCCCCTTTCGCTACCAAAGTATTTACCCCTTTATTTCCCCTTTCTTCGCCTTTATTTCCCCTTTTTGGGTTGTCTGGGGATATTTAATACAGACATGTCAAATGAACACAATTGTATATTCATTCTAAAATACGATGTCTAATTGAGCATGTGGCTGTTTAATGCGCTAGTTTGATTCTATTAGTTAACTTATACTCAGTTTTGTTGTTAAATCGAATGCTTTACTTGCAAATCCTTCTAATTTATTATAGCAACCATCCTACAATCAATTTCGATCATGGTTCATTTTAGT